TTTTTAATTATTTAAAAAAAACCCAAAACAAACAATATATCTGGAGCCATGCATCTTCAAAGAAATCCTAATAACTACCAACACATGACCACATTTAATATACAGTATACTATTATTTGTAGTTAATCTAACGTATACACTGAAAATTTAAAATAATTTAAAAAAAGGACTGACTCTAGATTGAATTATTTTCTTTCTTACACATAGGCCAGTTGTATACCATCCATATTCATTGTATAAAATTATGCTGGCAGCCATGTTGATGCCAGAGGATAAACTGCTTCGTTGGCCGCCTTTAAAAGTCAGCAGTTTTTGTTATTTGTTCAGGGACACAGAAGAATTGCCTACTAAACCTCTTTTACTTTTAGCAAACTGAAGCATGCTAAATAGTCCCTTTGGATCATGTCAAACAAGGGAACTAGTGGAATATACCCACGTTTTCTGCATAATGATGGAAAATTACAGCAGCTGCAAACACAGAGGGCTGTTGGAGCTGAACATTACAATATCACTCCCATACTTTGGATCAGAGAAAACTAAAAAACAATCTCAATATTTAAAATTTTTAATATTCAATATTTTTTTTATATTTATCTATTCATGGCTTTGTCCTTTCTCTTTACTCATTTAATTATTGTAAAAAGTGACAATACTGAATTCATTAATTTTTCAAGTGTTTAGAGATATTTGCGGTAAAATCTCATGACCGTTGTAAGGCTGTGTGTGGTTTGTCATCTGTCCAAACCAGAGCCATATTTTTAAAGGGGAAAAATGTAAGTTAAACTAATAAAAATAAGTTACAGATCTGTATAGACTAAAAACATGCTTAAAAAATAATTAAAAGAAACAGCTGAAGATGATGCCAATCATCTCCTGAAAAGAAGTGTAAAGCACGTAATCTAGCTTTGGAAATGAGTGCATTTCCTTTTGTTTTAAGGTTTAATATGTTCAACCTGGTAAGACAACATGTGTGAGTTTACAAAGACATAATGGCTAATTAAGAACAAAAAAAAATCATGGCTGTCTGTATGTCATGAGATAATTATGAAAAATTATTGAAAACAGTAAAATTCTTCTCCTATTACTACTTAGTTTCCAACCCACAAACAGACTGTGACTATGACACAATGTAAGGAGGTTATTTCTTAGGTGCTCTATATTTTCAGTTTAAACCTTCAAATGTGACAGTT